AATATTTTGCCATTTCCTCTTGTTTGCAGCAATTTATCTCTTAATATTCTCTAATGAGGTTTTGTTTTGTGTCCTGCATGGATTTTGTTGAGGTCCTCAAACCTGTGCCTATAATGTTCATCAATTTGAAAATATGGGGCCATTGTTTCTTTAAATATATTTCCTGTTCTCACAGTTCACCATTCATGGACTCCAGTGAGGATATTTTTACCATTCAGGATTGTCACAAAATTCAGGGATGAAAATCTTTTTAAAATCAATGGCAGCGAAATGTGAACTGTGCTCAGATGAGGTGGCTCCACCTTTATCACTCCTACCGGGAGATAATGAGTTTAATTACACACACTGCCTGGCCCCTGCTGAGGCACTTTATAATATACGACACACGCCCCTAAGACTGGAGAAAGTGTGAATTCAAAACACATTTGGTGCAAAGTATTTCATATAAGAGATTACGTTGGTCTTAGCTCTGCTATTTTCCCTGAAAAAAAAAAAAAATCATTTCCTTTCACAGAGCAAGTTAGCAAAAGTTGTTTTAAAAATCAGGCTACTTGAGGTAAAGGTCCTTTGAAATTGATGATGAGCATTAAAGAAAGATGAAAAATGCAACTGAACCTCCAAATATATAATCTAAAATTTACAACATAGAGCCATGCCGATCATGGAAAGGAGGAAGCATTGGGTCACTGGCTTGAATTCTCTCCAATGTGACGCTTGTCAGAGACTTATGGGTTAGCATCTGGATCCTCTCCTTTGTCTTCATGATACCGAGACCGCTCTTCACCAGACATCTTGCTCCCTGGGGGAGGGGCTCTCTTACCTGCCGCTGTGATGCTGTCTGCTGGGCTAGGAGCTGGGTCTGCCTGGCCTCTGTATGTCAGAGGTCGGTGCATCTATTTGACGGGTCGCCCATCTGGCTTCCTGAAGGTCCATTTGGCTGACTGGGACACTGCTGTGTGCCTCAGTCAGTGTTGTGGAAATACAATTTTAGTTATCTGTATAATGTATAATTTAGTGTAACAAATATATATAGCAAGTTATAATGGACATGAATTATCACATACCAGTCATAAGATCTAATGACATTTAATAATGTAACATTTTCATGGCCTACCATACACCAGGTGCTATTTTCGGTGTACAGTTGAGTCATTTAATCCTCAAGGAACCTCCAAGTAAGGTCCGTATTACTATTAACGTCCCTACTACACTGCTGACGAAAGCCAGGCTCAGAGAGGCCTGTTTGACTTTAGCCAGGCTGTGATCTGTCTGAGATACCCGGTGAACACTGGGCACAAGAAATGTTTTACCTGGTCTTACAGGGCATTCTCTTCACCTATCTAACACAAGTTCACAGACCTAAGGGCTGTGTACAAAGTGTTATTTTATTTTGGAGTCTACATTCGTGTTCATTTTAGCTATATAAATTAGAAAATGTTTAAAGTATATAATTACTTAAAATTCATCATGTTTTATCAATTTTACTTTATAAAGAACACTAACAGCATATTGTCAGCTATATATATTTCTTATAAAATTGCTTTATTTACTGTTTGCATTTGCAAATTTTTCTGTATTACACACATTTTCTTACAAGTTATTTTGTGGTTCTTTTCATGTGTATTATATACTGTTTTATAATTATTAGATAAATATATTGCATTATACATAAATTTTTATATTGCTTTTATGTTATAGTAACTACTTATTACTTAAGTTGTCTAGTGTATATAATAAGGCATAAGGTGCGACATCAGTAATTGGTATTCACTGCCTTAATTATAATTAAAATAATTATAAATAGCACCAAAGCCTTCCACTTAGCAATGGCTCAAAGTCGGCCTATCACCTTTACTCACCTGAACTCAAGCAATCCTCAGACCACAGGTCT